AGATTTTTAAGATATGCTTCTACCATATAGCCATTTTTAAAAAAAATAAAATTTGTGTTTGTATTTAAAAGATTCAGCTTAACACAACTCCAAAGTGTTTTATTTAGTGGTATCAAGCAACAAGAGAACCAGTTTTGATCTCACAGCTGACCCTGCCTTGAGAAGGAGGTTGTATTAGAGATCCCTCCTAACCCAATTTACTCTGCAATTTTACAATACATGGGTGTTCACCGTAGGCTCATAGTAGAGACATGAGGGAGACTTAAAAAAAGAAACCCAAGTTCTCCAAAGTAACAAGCTGGCAGGACCATTGCACAGACATCAGTTTCTCTATCCTCTTATCTACAGCCTCCCCCTATTTCAAGAATTTTAGATACGATTCCTGCAACAGACTTCCCCGATGTTGAAAACATTCATATTATAAAACAATGGAAGCCTCAAGACAGTGTAAAAAAAAAAAAAAAAAAAAAAGACTAAAGATACCAAAGAATTAGCACTTCTACATAGTAAGACTGAATTATCTTGACAAAAGCCTATTTTAATTGTCTGCAAAACTTCTGTAAGATCACATAAAAGGACTGTCAAGGGAGACATATAAATACTGAGGATTCACACAGACATTCCCTGCACTGTTCATGTTGTCCAGCTCAGTTTACTTGCAGTCGTCAGCAACTAACATATGATCCCACATACAGCCTTGTGTCCTCTTAAGTATAAATATATAATTTTCATATGCAAAATAACCCTTGCTTTCTAATTCAAACTGTGATGGATACTTTTACTATTTGTAATTCATAACTTACCAATTTTCTAAAGCTATTTACTACTTAAAGAGATCACTCTCTCCCCCTACCCGCAGTAAATGGATTCACATACAGCCTATAAAAGCAACCAAGCATTCTTTAAAATACATAATCATCACAATTATTTTGTTACTACTTACCATTTCTGTTTTCCTTTCTAAAAATTCCAAAAGCACTTTTTCTTCACCACCCAATTATAAGTGCTTATAAAAGGCTTTTTTTTAATTCCAAAACATTGATTTGTAAGCACTTTACTATTGGCAGAACTTTGCACGTTGGACAGAAGTAACCGGAGTATTCTGCAAATGGCACTATGTCACTGCATGGTCCATTACTGTATATGATATAAAAGACTAAACTGTTTCACAGGTGCAAAGACTGCCCCACTAAGCACACAGTGAGGAAGAATACCATGGTTATTTTCAGAAGTCAAATACATGTTGTAAGCACTTTACTATTGGCAGAACTTTGCACGTTGGACAGAAGTAACCGGAGTATTCTGCAAATGGCACTATGTCACTGCATGGTCCATTACTGTATATGATATAAAAGACTAAACTGTTTCACAGGTGCAAAGACTGCCCCACTAAGCACACAGTGAGGAAGAATACCATGGTTATTTTCAGAAGTCAAATACATGCCACAAGAACATATCGGATGACATCTACTATTTACTAACTCTAAAAAGCAAAAAACATTTTTTTTTCCTGTAATTAGTGCTCTAATCACAGAAGCCTAGAAGTTATTCTAAAAGATGTTCTTATAGGAAAAAATGTGCCCCTCTCTTAGACACCAATTTCCCTCTATTTTTCAAATTTTATCAGGATCATATTTTTCAAAACTAGGGTGCTGCATTGCTTAGTAATATCTCTTCTGTATACAGACCAAAGAAGCAAAGAGAAGATTCCTCTGAAACACAGTTCATTTTATGGAATTCATATGGAGTTCATTTATATTCAGAGTTGGCAATTTTCCCATAGGATTTCTCACACGGCCGTATGAAGCAGAAAGAGATACCTGCACTAATAATCCAAGCATGGCATTTCGTTGCACACATCTCCATAAGAGCAATCACTTAACTTCCTATGTTAAGATTTCCCTTTTGTAGTTAGCCTTTGTGGACGTGCATGTCAGTAATTACTCAATTCCATTCTTAGCCCAGTCTCTGGGTAGAGAAATACATATGCATATGTATATATATTTATAGTTATAAATGCTGAATTATCCTACAGTTAGTTGCAGGTTGGCCAATTCCCAACTTTTAAGTACTTTGGCCCTAACTCTGCTGGCCTATTTTTGTTAGTCTTAAGTTGAAAGAGAAGTTACAAGAATTTCCATATTAATACAACACTGAATCAAAGTAAGTGCAATCTTGCACATCATTTCTGCCCCCCCCCCCCCTTTTTTTTTAAGTTAATGTTTTAAAGTTTTAAAGTTAATGTAAAAAAGTTTTTAAACTTTTATGAAGTTTTTTTAAAAAAAAGAAAAGAGAACGGGAACCACTCGTTCCCATTTGCAGCACCCTTTTGGCACCTCTGCTGTCTCAGGCTCCCCTTTGGCTCCGTGGGTGCCAGGGGAGGAGGTTCCCATTCCCAGCTCGCGGCGCTGCCTCTGCTGCACAGGACAGGCCAAAAGGAGCAAAAAGACCAAGAAAGGCAGGTGCATCCTCACCACTCAAAGCCTTTCAACTACTCAATGCCAGCAAAAAAACCTAAGAAATCAAACACCAAGTGAAGCCAAGTCTGAACATCAGCGCAGAGGGGACAGGCTCCACGAACCGCTTGTACGACACAGCTCTGAATCTGCTGCAGACCTTCAATTACTGCCTCCAATTACTGCCTGCAGCCGAGAGGCTGGGGCAGGCAGGAAAGAGGGTCTGTTTTAACTCTGCATTTGAAAAGTGCACGGCAGGGAGATTTCCTGAGAACACACGAACAGCTTTATTCTAATAAACACCTCCCATGTTATCAAGTTTAATGCTGAAGTAAAATTCTACGGGCAGTAACCATAAATAAAAAGCTAGCTTACACAGCACTATCACTACACCTAATTTGTTAACTTGCATACTTGTTTTCATTAAGAGCTTCCGGAAACATTATCAAAACCTCTACTCTGAGACACAGATATCAGCTGTTGGATCTGTTCACAAAAACATACATTTACTGGAAATACAACACACACCCCAACATCATAAATGGAGAGAGCCACAAGACACTTGCTGAGATAAATTTATTAATGCATAGGTTAGAGATTTCCTCCCCCCAGTATTAACAGGAAAAAGGCAAATAATGAGGTTCAGGTTAAAAAAAAAAAACCCACCACACACACACACTCTGAGGCAGCTATATAACAAATAATAATAAAAAAGTATGGAGTGGCCTATTCAAATTTTCAGTCTACTTGGGCAGTCTTTCATAAAAAGTAGAAAATTGAACATGACTATTTTTGGGGGCCATTTGAGATAACCATCAATTAGACAACAAAACCGATTTTTTCCTGAACTAATTTGAGTATTTCTATAAATAACATTTATTGATAAAAATCTAGAAAGCTACAGAATAAAATATATTTTACTTAAAATGAGTTAAGTCAAGCAATTTGTCCTTAGCTTGTATGTAAACCTACTCACAACCACTGGTGAGTGTTCCAGACTTAGAGGTAAAGAAATCTGTTCATTATAAAAGCTCATGGTTTTCCAGAGCCTTCTTATGGCTGACTTGCAAAAGATAAACAAGCTTTTTTACATATTTGACATCTTAAGAGATCCAGTATATTCACAGTATATTTGGGCAGCAAAAGCAGGAGTATCCATACACACAATATATATTGTAAACTGTGCTGAAATTCATGAAGGAAATCAGGAAGACTGAATTATATCTTAGTGAGTTACTTTGATCTCAGACACTTTCAACAAAATACATTTAAACAGAGTTACTGTAGTTAGCATTATCTATAGCTGACATAATATCTGGAAATATTGACAAGTGTAGTTTTAGACTGTTGAAAAAGGCACCCATTATACTTTCTCTCTTTGTGTAAATATATCTACATATCTACATGGATATCCTTAAACAATGAGAACCGATAAGAACAATCAAAAAAAATCAAAGTGACATATTTTACACAGAAGGCAAAAAACCCTGTAACATTAAATGCAGTTATTTGGTTACATTTGAAGTCTTCCAAGCTTTATAAGCTATCATTACAACAGGTATGCACTAAAACACTTCATATATGTTATACAATGCATAAATTGAACAAGTCAGTGTCTTAGTTTACATTACATTTGGGAGATTTCTGAGGGGATTCATTTGTCCCTATGTACTCTACTCACACACTAGGATAAGCAGCCTTACGAAAATGAAATCTTGATTTGGCTTTATAGAGGAAAAAGTGTGATTTCTGTCATATTCATACAAACAGTAAGGCTAAACCGATCCATCAGTTCCACTTGCAAAACAAGGATTATTTGTAAAGTTACATGCTAAAGTTCTGCGTGTTTCATTATTGTATTCTTTCACCAGAAAGCATCACAACTATTTTTCTGATTATACAGGCAAAGAAGTATTTAAAGCGGTTAACCCTAGTCATGTTGAAAAAAATACTGGAAGTGTAAAAAAAGCTTTAACAAAATAAAAAAACTAATGCAATAGGCAGATAATTAAATAAGTCCTTTTAGAATAAAATATTTTAGCAGTGGATGCAGAAAGATTTTTTAGGTATAAAGCTTAGACAGGTTAAGGTGACTGAATAGTTATTATATTTAAAGGCATGGCTACATCTTATAAAAATGTTCACAAGAGTGCTAAGAAAAGCAGCACTGATATGGTACTAAAATTCTTAATTAGAATTGTATTAGCAATAGAGCATAAAGCCAAACAGTCAAAATTCAATAAATTGTGTCTCAACACCCTAATTAAACTGCTTAACACTGAGATATGAAAAAAATTAAGTTACTTTAGTTCAAAGCAATTAAGAACAAGTTTCAGTCTCAAAAATGTACACTTTATGATGAAAATCCATACATATCCTCATTCACTGTGATCTTCATTTATGAGTAAACATTAAAAGTGATTTTCTTTTCATTTTATCCATTAGTAATAGGCCATTATCATGCAACAGTATAAGGCATCTTTTACAACAAATGTTTGGTTTTACTGACAAATGAATGAGTTTCTGAAGGTTCACAACTCTCGGAATGTGCTCGTTATGATAGTGTTGTTGCTAGGATAATCCCAAGTATCAGAAGCAAGACAGTTACGCATATAATTATGTACATCATTTTCTGCAAAAAGAGAAGAAAGTTTAGATTAATATATCTCAGACATAGCACTTAAATAAGAGCATACTGACAGCCAGTTAACAATGTTGGTAATCCAACCATCAGAAGTGTTTGGATTTTCTTTTTGAAGATTACTTCCTGTCATAAGTTTCTATTTGTTTGTCTTTCTTTTCTAAGGTACATGTAATGACAGTGACAAGCTACAGATATCCATGTAACACTTCTGTGTTTTGTTTTATAGAATAATTAGTAACCACATGCAACTTGTTAGTATCATTAAATAAACTGATGCAATAGTAAACATTTACTTATTAAGTTAAAATCTGAGGTTTCTTAAACAGTTTACTGCCATTCTCTTTGAATAAATAACTGGAGCCTGCTCAAAACTTGACAGTTGTGCAGTTAGTGGTATTAAGTAACATGTCTATAAAAACACTATGCACTTAACATTTCATAAGTACTGCAAGGAAAAACAAAAAGTGTTCTATATGCAAACTCTGAAGTTAAGCCAAGTATTTCTGACTATCAGCAATACAATACAGTAAATTTTGCTATTTGTCTATAAACTTAAGATTAGCTGTGAGAGCTTAAAACTCTGATAGTAAAAATATGTTAGTAAAGACAACTGAATTTCTGATTTTCTGAAATGTCTCAACCCTATCATCTTCTTAGCCTGACTAGATAAGGTGTTATTTTCCCCACAGGAAACTTAAGTTAGTGGAGCAAACAGGAAAACACCTGGAGAATTCTGAAATGCATACTCAGGTTATTCTCTTCCACAGACATTCTTTTTATATATACACAGTTACAGACTTTCGTAAGGTCTAGTATTAAAAAAATAAAAATAAGAAATTTTAGGATGTGCTGCAAGGTAAAAGGTTTTCAGAGTTGTAAGTATTAGGTATCTATTTTTCTTGAAAGCTTTGTTTAAAAAATGCAAATAACCTTATTTGATAAAGCTCCAAATGTACCTAATATTCCATCTTACTTCAGGTTGTTTGTCAGAGTGAAGTTTAGGTATATAAAAACACTGAATGCCTTAAGACATTCAATGGATGTTTTGTTGCTTTCTCTTATTTGTTGGCAGGTCTTACATAACATGGTTGCATGCTGTAAGTTTATTAACTTACCACTAGATGTCAGTTTTCAATATTCACATGCACAGAACTCTAAAGTACCAATGGAGAAGACCCAATTCAAGTCCACCCCCAATGTTAACTGTAAACATACTAAGCGTTAGTAAAGGAACTGTTTTAGCAAATTGTCAGAGCAAAACAAGCAAAATTAGTTGATTAGTTACTTACTGCCACACTGGCAGGAAGGCATGCATGCTGAAGTTATCCAAGCATCACCGAGTACCAACAGCCAAACCAATTATTAGACCAATTATGGCAAGCAACACCAATAACACAATGACAATTATCCATTTTTTCTGTCAAAAAGAAAGTTACATTTTTAAAATCAAACACATTAAGACTTGCACTAGTGTAAATTTAAAATATTCTGGTTTTAGATCTAGATATTTTTATTAAAACACACAGTATTCTCAAATTGAGCTAAGTTTTTCTGTATACTCTTGCATGCTATTTATAAACGTTTCTCTAAACAGTTTCACTCCAATTTAGTACTCTTATGGGGTAAAAAATGCAGTTCTCTGTAAAAGGAATAGATTACAGATGGAATTCTAAGAAGCAATGCTGTTGCAGCAAAACTAGTGATTCTACTTTTTCAGCTAACATGACAACTTTATAGCTACACCTCCAGATAAGTTTACCAGTTTTGAAGATGCAAAGCATTTACATTTATTTAGAGCTTGAATAACTGTAGGTATCACAATAGTTCATAAAAAGAACCTGTGGAATTAGAAACTAGCACAATGCATTAATCCTTCCTTTAGGGTTTTCTACTCTGTGACCTCAACTGTTTAGTTTTTGCTCCATGTGAACTACTATCTATCTTCATTATACAAGAAACTTCTGTTCTCTATCGGTAAAACAAAGTTTTAACACTAAAACTACCACACATGAATTCAACACACTGACACATTTATAAAAATCTGCTATAAATTAGTATATGCTATGGAAAGATTTACTAAAGCAGCCCCCCACACACACATCAAAAATAAACAAACAAAAGAAGAAAACTCATTTTCTAATCTAATTTTAAATATTATAACTAAGCAAAATACATTTATTGATTTTACTTTGTAGGACTGAGTACAAGAAAAAACATCTAAACGTGAAAGTCACTTCATATGCGAAGTTAGTATGATCATTAGCAGTTACAAAGAGATAGCATACCCTTCGTGCTTTGCTTTGATATTTAACTGCCTTTTTTGTCTCTTCTTTAGCATGCTCCACGTAATCTGTTGCATTCATAACATTCTTTTCTATATTGTTGATCATTTCACCCTTAAAATGAGATTTTTAAGAAAAAAAATTATTACAGGAATCCTGGAAGCTCTGTTTAACGAAAACAGCTAAAATATCAATATTAAGAATTGTTTTAAATGTGTCAATGTTTTAAGCAGCGTGGCTGAATTTTTCTGCATTGACATGTAATGGAAAACAGGAACGGGAAGCAAGATCTTGAAGTTCTAATGCAGCAAGGAACAATCATAGGCAGGACAGGCATTTCCCCCTCTTGCAGGAAATAGCACTGATCATCTCAAACACTTCGAAGAGGGCACAGTTTTGAGAAAACTAACTGGGATCTAAAAATAACACACTGAGGAGTAACTTGAGGAAGCAAGATTCCTTGCAAGTGAAGGTGTAGAATGCCAGTACATAAATCCAAAATAATTATAATGAATGAACTTCGGTAATGAAATGGAGGATTGGTGGAAAATTACAGTAGATTCGTTACCTGTGTTTCTGTCCATCAGAAGAGAAAAATCAGCAGCAGTAAACAGCAAAGCATTAAATAATGATGCACAAGTAACTTTTGTTCATTTCTAGCATCATGTGAAATATATTTACTTAATTAAAAACTGCTAACTATTTTCCTTGGCTAGAAATTTAATGACCAAGTAACGTAAGACTTCTAGAACCAACAACCAAATCGGTTGTTCTTTTCAGGACAACTAAGCCTCCACTGAACAGTTCTCTCCTGAACATTAATCTTTTGCTTCATTGCAGAAGTCAGATGATTTTAAGATCAGAAGTATTTTAGTTAGAAAACTGGTATCTGAAGACTATAATGGCATGAACACACACCTCTTAAGATAAATCTTATAACAGACTACTTGGATGATTTATCAATCCCTTTACATTCATGTGAATTACAACAGAGATGACATCTGTGTATTGTACGTGGACTGCACGCATCTCTCCTAGCACACATTTAATTCTACAGTAGTCCAATACCATGTCTGTGAGAATCCCAAGCAACCTTCCAGGATATCGGCTTTAGCTGACATTTGAGGAAAGAGTTTTCTCTCTTAGACAAACAAAAAATATTTCCTCCCCTTCCCCCCGGTACAAGCATGTTGACCTTCTTTTCAGTTGGCCATACTTCAATTACCTGTAACGCACTACCAGTACAGATAGATTGCAGTTAGTCCAAAATGGAACAAAAACACCTTTAATGACTTTTTTCATAAGATCTACATCACTGAGATGAGAACAAAAATCATACCTACAAACCCCATGCATTTTTAATTACCTGAATATAATTATCTCTGCATAAAGACTAAAAAATATCCCGCTTACATTAAAGTGCATTTCATTTACCTGAGTCTCAACAAACATTGCCATGTCCATAAACATTTCATGTAGTTCCCGTATGCTAGATTCTAGTTTCATAATATCCTTGTGTCGTGACTCGATTTCATTCAGAGCTTGTCTAGTAATTTGAGAGTCTGATATAATCTTAAAAAGTACAAGAAAAAACATCGTTATGTGCTGACATACAGCTAGGTAGCAGAAGAAACAGAATGGATGATGTTACTGGAGCAGAAATACGTACATCAGAAGTAAAAATTGAAGGATTACCACTTTCTAACATTTCTTCCAGTTCCTCATCAGTGGTAGTCTTCCCAGCTAAGATAAGAACAGCATACCATATAACATCAAGTTATTTACTACTCAACATAAAATTTTATCACAGCATAAAGAGCAACAATTTGAAGAAAATTCCTATTTTGAGTATTTTTCCGGTTAAAACAAGGTAGTCTTTTACACTAGCAAGGTATCATTTTGCCTATGAAGAGTTCGGTGCTTTTCTAGTCATGAATGGCAGAAATCAGTTCATGTGAATCAGTGAACAAGTGATTAGAGCCTAACAGCAGCACCGGTGACACTATCAGATGAACTTAACAGACATTCTTATTGACATAAACAGCATAAGAATGCTGTTTAACGTGTAAATTTTGGATTGGTTTTAGTAATACTTGCTACAGAATATTCTGTACGCTTAAAAAGCAGTGTCTGCATGTAAGCTTAAGGTTTCTTTTAAAGTTGCAACACAATATATCTGAAACAAAGGATATAGATATTTAATAATTTTCAACAGAAAAGTTGTAAAGAAAATACAGCAAACTTACAAGTACTCTAAAGAGTAACATCAGAGTTTATGTCACCCAAAAGAATTATTTCTTTTCCCTCCTATTCACATGCTTCAAGAAAGCGTCCAAGATGTTTGATGGTTTATACCATCTTTGAGCAATGGGAAATAAAAACAGACTCCAACATAACTCAGCTTTTTATAAGTAGTATTCAGGTCACTTACTTATTTCTAATTGTCTCTGTATCCGACCTTTGCTGCGTTCTCGAAAAAGAATTTGGGTCTCATTGTATTCTGTCATGACCTCCACAAACTTCCGAGCTAACACCGAATGCTGTTTTTTAAAGATAAAGAATGTATATAACAAAAGAATTTTGAAGGAAAATAAGTTTACAACAACTGCTACTGCACAAAATTAAAAATGGTATTAATATTTGAACTCAAAACAGAATATGAAGTTCTAAAACTATCTGGTTTAGTAAAAGAATTAAAAAAGGATTACATAATTATACCTGTGTTTTTCGTATCCTGAGATCCACTGATGTCCGATTAGCATTCTCACCCTGATCAAAGCTTTGTTCAATAGCTAAGAACACAAAAATACAAGTCAATGGTCAATTATTCAATAGTGTACATCAAGGTCATTACTAATTATCACTTTTTGGATATACAATTCCCTTGCAAACAAAGTTTAATGTTTCTTGTGTTTTTTTTGCTGTTTTAATTCACTAATTACTAAATTTGAAACCAGATCTTAAAACTGTAAGTGCTTAAATTACGCTTAAGAGGCAGACAGCTATCTATTAACCTTGACACATTTCAAGAGGTCTAACAAAATAGATTGCTCCTGCAATTTAAATGATAAACATCATATTCTAGTGGTTATGAAAGCATAACAGAACAAAGTATATACTGATTGTAATCTCGTTGAATTGTAATTCAAACAGTTACCATATTTTAAAGTCAACGTTGATCAATTAAGGACATGCCCACAGAGCAAAGGCACAGCAAAATTAGACGGTCTGAATTTAAAAGCAATTCCCTAGGCAGGCATTTATGCCATGCAGACTCTTTCTCCAGTTCAACTTCTTCCAAAACACAGTATGACCATAAAATGGCATTTCAGTTGCAGAATACATTTGCACACAGCAGTAGTCCTTCACAGTACAATTTTCTAGGTTATTTCTCCAAGTAAACAAGCTCTTTGTGTTGCTTCACAAATTGGGCTGTGCCGAGACCTATATTTTTTTAACCAAGAAGCATGACAAGAAGGGATTAGTTGATTGTTTCTTTTGGAAAGGTTAATTATATGACAACAGCCTTCAGCTATAATGCTTAGATAATGGGCAAGATCCTGGGGTACACAAAGGAAGCACTATAGGGAAAATAGAAGGAATACAGTAACCTTGTGATCTCTAATGGTTGATATGTTCAGAAAAAAAAACCACCAAAAACAATAGTTGAAGCTTTGCATTCTAGGCTCAGTATTAAAGTTACTAAAATAATAAAACCTATACAGCATTTTCTTAAAATTTTGGGACTACCAGGAAAGATGCATACAATACAATTCATGCATACATAATGCAGCTGTAAAATTTCAGAATTTCAGCTACAATGCAAGGAGTATGTAACATTCCTAATATCCTAAAAACATATTATGTTTAATGGCAAGTTGATTTCTCCTCCCAACTTACACTTTAACCTGGCTCGGACTTTATTAGCAGTCTTCTTTATTTCTTCATTTAACTCTTCAAGTTCTTCCTTTGTCCCTTAAAAAAAAAAATCAAAACTATTAGTTATTGATAAGAAATTATTACATTTCTTCTAGAAGACACTCAAAGCATCATCTCTAGACATCTACTACCTATGAGCAGAAGAAAATGAGTATTTAGTAAGCAAAATGAGTAAGAGCACTAAAAAAGATATATTTTTTAGAAATTAAGTAGCCTACCAGGGCAAAGAGAAATCTGATTTGGCTGAATGTGATTACAGGACTGCAAGGCTGAGTTGAAGACCATCCCTAGCTTGGGTTACATTCAGTTCAGTGTTCAAGTTTCAACAGCAACAGCAGCTTTTTTCCAAGTGCTAATGGTTGCACAAATTTAGGTATTGTTAAATTGATCTTTCTCTGTTCATCACAGATTGCTGAGAAAACAACAGGGGCAGCTGTAAACTAGTGAAGGCAGATCGATGTCACCGGGGAGTTAAGCCGGTGTGAAGACTAGCACTGGTGTGAACAATGCAACAAATGTTTATTCAAATGAGAATTTTCCAAAAGTAACTATTTTCATTATATTTTCATCTGAAATATTTAAAGAAATATATTGCATCTGCTCTAAAGTTCTATTCTGATTCATAGCTAAAACAAAATTAATTGCCAAATACCTACTGACACATATGGAACAAAACAGTGATACTTACTTCCTTCGGGATTTGGTGCTGACAGGATAATGCTGTGCTGCTTCTTCACTTCTTCCACATTTTGTGCTATTTTTGCTATATTATTTCTAAGTTCTTCAACCTAAAGGAAAAGAAAGATATGGCAATGAAAGCACTAGAATAATTCCTTGTGAATGACTCCTTTTTGAAAAAAGGAGTTTTGGGTAGTAAAAATTTCAAACATTTTACTGCAGCATTAGTAATTGACAGAAACCCCAGCATGTGCACAGCAGTCCTATGTTGACACTACCGTAAAAAGTAAAGCTGATAAATATTTCTAGGGCAAAATTATATAGCTACATTTCTATTAGTTATCCAATCTTCAATAATGTTTAAAATAATATGATCATTAATATTACCAGCATTGTCAGCTAAGCATATACTTTTTTTTAAGCAGGATTATTTTTAATAGCAAACAGATTCAGAATGGCCCAAAATTTAAACGATACTACTCTTTTTTTTTTCCTGCTAAGAGAGTTAAGCAAATTCCTCATAAAGAAAGCATGAAACATTTTTATGACTGCACTCAAGGCAGAAAATACCACCTCTCCGCCCCCTGCCCGTGCCTGGCCCACCCCTTAAAAAAAAGCACACAAGCAAGAGTTAAAGCCTTACTAGCATTACTACAATTTGGTTTTGTATATTGCACAGAATATTACTGGCGGGTAGAAAAGTACACATAATTAAAAATATTAAGAGAAAAAAAAAAGTGCTGTAAGTCTTTAGAGTGCGGCAAAATCTACACAACTTTACCTGCTGGAAAAAGTCATCCATGAAATGGTCTTTTTCAACAACAACTGTCTCTCCATCTTCATTTCTTTTACACTGTAAAAAAAAATTTAAAAAAGTAGTGAAATAAAATTATTTTCTACTCGGAGACCACTGAGACTTCTTTCTATCAATAGTCTGCAAGGTCAAAAGGGAAGTTTTCTTCTTCTAAGAACTGTAATCTAAGGACAAATAAGAAGAGAGGTCAAAGGAAGTCAGCTGACTACCACGGAGTTGTGAATCCGAGGGCACATACTCGGTAAACAACTTTAGGACGAGAGTCACCTATTGGCGATTTTCAAGTTTCCTTTACTTGTCATAAAAAATATTAAAATACAAAATTAACACCAAAAAATAAACAAGTGTTCTCTCATAACATAAAAGATACATCCAGTTAGTTCCATGTGAACCGAAAATAACATTCAGTTTCAGCACTACCTGGACAAGGACAATAAATCAAACCTTCTTAAGGAAACACTAAGAGCTGTGCTGAGACTTTCTGACTTGTGATGTAGCGAGCCAAGCAAGCAAAGGAAACCTGCAGAACAAAAAGCTGTCAACAACTACTACTTGCTGCTCTTGGCTATTTTCAGGAATCGCGTTCCTCAGTGATTTTGATATAATTTTGCTCTACTAAACTGTAGATGCCTTACATAATCTAGAGCTTCGCAGCACAGCAGCCAGCAAGACAGAAGCTCCCATGACACTCTCACTGAGAGGTTACTCTGGAGATGGGCACATTCACTGAGTCATACTTCCCTAACCCCTGAGCTAGCCCAGCAGAACAAGAGAGTCTTGACGAAGATTCAAATTTGGTAAAAGGAAAAGAGAATTAACATGCATCACACAAAAGCACAGAGTTCTAGCCTTCATGCTTTCTAACTCGCACTGTAGAACACAAGCTGTTTGAACCACACTTAAAGAAGAACAGGACAAAATATTAATTACTGCACGTTACCATACAGTCTAGGGGTTAACTGACAGAAAAGATAACCTACAGGTTAGGTAATATTTAAAGAAACTCATGATGAAGACTTCTTTTTCTCAGAAGTCCCTCTGCCTTTGATCTCGCAACACGGAATTTCTGCTCCTATTTCTGATCCTATTATCCAATAATCCCTTTGCTTCTGGATTCATTAAATTAGATGAGGTGTGGATTATTTGCATGACAATTCTGCAGTTTAAATCAATGCCAAAAATATTTCTATTAACTAAAGACTTACGTGATAATATAAGCATGAAAATATTAGGGAGTATCCCATTTTTTCAAGAAAAAATATTACTTAAACAGTTGTGATGTTTTTCCCCCCTCTGCAAATTTAAAAAGTCCCTGCATGATAATATTAGTGTCATAAAATACTGTAGATATTTCATATATATTGTTGCACATATATTCACACACATTAATGCTTTAATTATATATATATGTATAATATTTCATTTCAGGGGAACAATAATGCAGAAATAAATAAAAACTTTAAGATGTTATTGCCACCCTGCACCCTTCTCCAGTCATCCACAATAACAATGTCTCTCAAAAGGTTTTAGGAAGTTACTCATTTGGTAGTTACTTACGTTGAAACTCAATCATCATCAAAAAAAATGTTCTTAGAGGTTTTCCCAATTAATAATCCTGCTTAATGAAAATAAGTGAGGAACAAAGTGCCCAAAAATTAATCACACGATTTCTATCCATACCAGAGATTACAGTGCCAGAGAACTATCAGTTGTAATTTAATATTTAAGACGGAGCTGCACTTCAAAGAGCTTGAATTTCATTAGCTACAAAAAGACCTTCCACTTGCACTTACTGAGTAAAGAACCAATCTTCCCATTATTTATAACAAAATTTTGTATTATACCATTTAACTAAAATGAAAACAATTAAAGTAGTACTAGCTATGAGATTCCACATCTGTCAGTTTTTCCTTAAGACCAAACAGCTTCATAAAATATTAAACACACTTCAGTCTTAATCGAATGAATCAATTCAAGTTCTCTGTGGAGGTAAAGCTACAACTGAGCAGTTCTGATTATGCAAAATTTCACTTTCACATTCTATTGCAGTGATACAGACGACAGATCTATTGGCTGTTAACAATTTGTTCAAAGTGTTTGTGGGCAGCCTGCATCAGCACTTGAAAGATACATGATTTGTCAACCTCTATTCCTCACATTCCTTAAGTGGCCACTGGGAAGTGATCAATTTATTATTTGCTATTTTTCAGCTTAAGCAAAGTGATACACCTTATTTGGAAGAGCACAATATTCAACCAAAATGTCACTTTTCTCATCAGCAAGTTTAGCTGAAACACAGTAATTTTTTCCTACCTCACCTTCCCAGTATGAGCAGTACCACAAACAACTTTAATAAAAGCTTTATTCAACTGTGTTGGCATTCACATGAAGCCTGTTTTGCAGGTTACCTTTTGCCTTACCTTGGCATTAAAAACTTGGGCCATAAAATTCCATATTTATAGACTTATAAAATATAGCAAGTTTCTCCAGAAGTTGGTTTATATGACAGAAGCCACAGATATTTCAAGAGCAAGCAGGTTTTGGACTAAAAACATGACTTATTTGCCCATGAAATTCCCTTTGAGTTTGGTCACTTTCAGCACTGTTCATCAGCTGTATTCCAGAGGAAGCATCTGACAGGCTGCATGGATAACTGCTGATCACCATTATCCCACTGAGTCAGACCCAAACTGCTGCCAGGGCACACGCTGTATGTGACAGCAAACCCACTGCAGAGAGAACAACAGCGCTGCCCAAGCGCCGCGGTCCCGTCCAGGCTTCACCCTGAGGAGGCAGCAGGTGCCACACTGCTGTGTGCACGTAACAAATCTTCACACTTCCTTTAAAAAGCTCTAGAGAGCTCACAGGGCAAATAAAGTCAGCTGACAAAAAAAAAAATACGCTATACGTGTGTATGTATATATATATATACACACAAATATATATATACATCAAGCATCTGACACAGCTTTCCATTTTTCCCACATGCCAACTAGATGTGTCAGGCACCAATTGCACATGTTGGTAAAATTACTCCACAACATAGTAAAGGATTGTATGGGGACCAACTATCGGAAACTGCTTTATGCTGTTATGGCATGGAAAACTTGTGGCTAATTGTCAGATGATTCTGTGCTTAAAGACTAATGTAGAAGTGATCTCAAAAGAAGCAACTCAAACGTCAAAAAAGTGCATTTTGAAGCTTTGTCTTACTACTACAGTTTTACCATCTTCAGAGTTGTGACATTGTGGCTCATGACCCCACTCCTAAATTGAGCTTTTGAGACATTATGTGAATGTCCAGGAATTAGTTCACCAAAAAAAAAAAAAAAAAAAAGTTTAATGCAGTGCTGTTCAAGTTATTGTATTAAAAAAAATAAAATAAAATCATATGACCAAGGAAAGAATTGTTGTCCAATGATGCAAGAACGGTGCTTTTTGTTAAAAAACACTAAAGCCAGCCTAGAAACCCCTACACACAGGGTTACTTAAAAAAGCTTCTAACAATATTTAAGCAAACAATTTTTATTTTCTTTTAGTCAGGCTACTGCTGCTTCTCCACAGTCAGAGAATTGCTACAACCTGGACATGTGAAGGAACTAGGAGAAGAGACCTAAAAAGAAGATATATATATATATGTACATATATAGTATAACCTAAGAGAAAATACAGTTTCCTTTGTCATAACTCTTTTCTACCTTTCCTGAGAAAGACACTGTAACCTAATCATGCAAAGACTTTTAAAATGTCAGCCCATCCTTTTGGAGAGGAAAGTAGAGAGACAAGGAATCCCATTGCCTAAACAAGGAGCTTCTGAAGTGTATTTTCTGAAACATAAAATAGCCCAAATAAGCCCCAAATCTGCATGTACCTCAGCATAGGCCAACCCTTTATATATGCGTATGCAGAGTCCTAAAACTAATAGAGACCCCTACATGCTCTCCAGTTTAATTCATTTCCTTAAAAGGAGGTCAAATATTCTTTTATTTTGGCAAAGCCACGTCCTGTTGAAAGTAAACCCAGCACCTCCTCCCTCCAACTCCTTCTTTCTAAGGGTACCGCCTTTACAGTGCGAACCAGGGGAAGGAAAAGAACGAATAAACATCTCTAGCTACCATCTTGTAAACAGGCGCAAAGCAGGATCTGCAGATAGCTTTATTTGCTGATGAACTTACTGCTGGTTAAACAGTTCCAGCGCTGGTAATTTCCCCCATACGCCGGACAGAGTTCGAAAACAAAGTTATTTCCCCTATCTTAGCCAACTTTCGAATATCAGTATTTAAAGGGTGCAGGAGGTCCGGAGAAGAGCGAAAACAGCACGGATAAGAGCAGAGGCTCCCGACGCTTCTTGGAAAAGCCCCTCCGCTCAGAAGCGTCTTCCCATCCCCGGGGAGGAAGTCCTCCCTCCTCCTCCTCCTTCTCCCAGCGGAGGCCGCTGGAAAACAGCGTGCTAGGCCCGGCACCTCCGTGCCCCCAGGGCTGGGGACATGGCCAGGGCCACGGC